TGGTACAAATATTCCACCCCAGACTTCTATTCCTGAGGTGGCCCTCCCCAGAAACAACCAGTGGTAATGATTTCAGTGGTAATGATTTCCAGAAATAGTCCTTGCCAAAAGCTGGCATACAAGTGGCAGTTTCCTAAGTAGAAACACATTAAGTTCTAAACTTTGCCTTTTAATTTAACAATGTATTTTGGAGTTATTTCCATATTAGCACTTATAGAACCTTTATTTCTTTTTCACAGCTGCATACTATTTATTCCATGATATATGGCACCATAACTGGTCCTCTGTTCAAGGCATCTAGCTTGCACCCAACCTTCTACTATTACAAGCACAGATGCACAAACATGGTAATCTTTACAAACAGAGCTTTACATGTGGACTAATTTTCCATAAGTGCAGATACTAAGTTAAAGGATATGTACCTTTGAATCTGATAAATATTGCCAAAATGCCCTCCAAATATGATGCCCCAAGTTGCTTCACATAAGCAATGCTTGTTTTTCCCTACATCTCAGGCAACATAGTACATGATCACATTTTTCATCTTTGCCAGTAAACAGACATCTAACTGCTATTTTAATTTTCATTTCTCTAATTATGATAAAGAGTTGAGCATCTTCTCTTAAGTTGATGCTATTTGTATTTCAATTTCTGTACTTGCTTGTTCATATCCATTATCCATGTTCCTGCAGAGTTGCTAGCTTTCTTACTGATGTGAAATAATTCTTCTCAACCAAGGTAATTACTCATTTGTCTTATCATTACAAATATTTCCCAGTTTTTAACTTATCTTCTGACTTTGTTTTATAGTATATTTAATCATGAAGATAATCTAAGTTTCTATGTAGTCAAATGTATTAAGCCTTTCTTTTATGGCTTCTGGGATTTGTGTCTCAGTTGGAAGGCTTTCTCTGCTCTCAGATTCTTTAAAGCAGTCATTTTCAAGTATTTCATGGTTCATTTTTTACATTTAAGTCTTTTATTCAACTGGGATTTACTTGAGTGATAAGGCAGGGATCTAGGTACTTTCTCATTTTATTATTTTTTTGGATAGCTAAGCAGCTGTCACAAAACAATTCATCTTTTCTGTTATGGGTCATTTTAAATGCAGTTTTGCCAGCTTCAAAGCATTTTACAATAGAGTATATTTCTAGAAAATCTGTTTACTAGAACCACACTATTTACCTATATAACATGTTATTAAATGTCATATATTGTTAACATTAATGAAAATTATCCTGAAATAAAAGGTAATATGGCATATGCTGTGGGAATCACTGGATACCCTTATGATTGAGGGCAGTGTAACTTAATAGAAGTTCACCCTCCAGCAGTCCTTAAGTTGTTTACTGAGCATGTAATAGAATTTTTCACACTGTAGAGAAATACCATTTATAATTTTGGAGGGAATGACTTGCTTCCAGACCACAGAAGAAGAAATGCTTTATGATTTATTATTCCAAGTTCCTTATTTACCTAAGATGTTGAGAGAAAAATGGCAAAGTAATATTTTCCTGAATTTTCATTAGTACTATGCAGATAAAAGAAATATTGATACTATGCAGAGGCAGAACATCATTAGGAAGAGCTCATCAGAAAGCTGCTACTCTCTAGTCTTGAGATTTAAGGAAGCCAAGATACAGGAAGTAAAGGGCACAGGACACCATTCCAGAAGGCTGGGTCAGAAGCTCAAAAAGCTCCAGTAAACAGGGTCACAAAACCAGAATGCTAAATGCTTGTTTCAGTGCTGGCCTTCCAATCTCCCAGTGGAGATTGAAGCTTAAAACTGGTAACCTATGGACCCTATTAGTTGAAAATACATATTCCAATTTTAGCATTTTCATTGTAACAGCTGCTTTGTGTAGTTAACAATTCTGTTTAAAGGAAATACTGTATGGACACACAATTAAGTCTTATTTCAAAGGGTGAATACTCCTATATTCTTTATAAATGAACATATAAGATTGAAAATTCAACTTATAACCACTTTTTATGAAAGACTCAACTTCTTTGAATTTATTTCTATTTCTTATTTTTTTTGTTTATATTTCTTTATGAATTCTATTTATTTTTTATACCAGCTTATCCACCAAGATGAAGAGTCAACTCTTTATTAGTCCCAGAATCTTGTATCTGGAAATGATATACAGGAATATGAGACTGGAGAAAAGTAATGCTTCGGATGGCCCAAAACAGAAGAAAAGCTAACAAAAAACACTAGTAGGCATTTTAAAAGGATGTACTATTGAATTTATACTTATACTAAAATTTTGTATGTAAAAACTATGCATGCTTAAAAAAAAAGTCTGTGAATGTTTAAAAAATTAAGAGCATCTCAAATCAATAATAAAACTCATGTGTTAAAACCTAACTCAGAAGGATGGGAAATGATGACTAGCTTTACATAGGAACCCAGAAGATTTTTCTATCTTCCTTTTAAACTATGAACACGTGTACCCTAAATTTTCTGGAAAGACAACATATTTTGAAAATTCAAAAATGAACATTTATGTTGAAACTGAAAAATTCTGTTTCAAATCAAAGTCCCTAAATTGACTTCCCTCCTCGTGTGTTCCCCACCTGTTAATTAGGGTCAATAATTTCAGAGAGCCTAGAGTGAAACCTCCATCACATCACCTCCAATCTCTTTTTTTTTTTTTTGAGTTGGAGCCTCACTCTGTCGCCCAGACTGGAGTGCAGTGGCC